AACATTTTAACAGATACTCTGACCCATAACTATCGTAAAACGCTACGACCGGAAGTAGACACCTTTCGCGCATGCGGGGTACCGATCGGGTTTCCGGTACGGATCGGGTAGTGACAGGCGTTTTTGTGAAGCGCGTATCGAGGCTCGCTTTGATTACGTATGCAGTGACGTTCGAGGCCTCGCGGGCAGTCCGTACCACGTGACTGATTCAGGGACTGGTTCACCGGTTCGCGCCAGATTCGAAATAAAATGGGCAGAAAAACACAGCTGATTTCTCCATCACATTGTGTTGTGGAATTGGATTACGTACGTGTTACATAGTTACTTGAGCATTTCTTCTTCGATGGAACCAGCAAGGAAGAGATTTTTATTTTATTTTATCTTTCCTAATAAAGTATGCACACAGTAATAAATATCACAAATGATAAGCACCATAATATAAATAAACAACACTACAGAGGCTATAATCTGATTTCTGTCTTTTAGTTTATTAAAAAGTGAAGCACCAAACTCTAGTTTGTGTCATTATCCAGATGTACATAAGCATGATTACACAGTTACCAGGAGCAGGTTTTGATTATCGATTAAAATCGATTCTAGCTTGGATAACGTGATATCGATTCATTAAAATCCTGAATCGATTTTTAATATAAATATTACTACATTTCAACCACCACCAAACAGCTAAAACAGTAAATGAGAGCAGGTACACCGATTCTGCACAAAGACGTAAACACAAAGCGCGGAGCGCTGACGCATCAGAATCAGTGAGATGTCGCCTTTCTCACCAGACAGCGCGGACACGGTCGGGGCTGAAAGCCGACAGCTCACTGATTCTTATCCGTCGACGGGTCCGTGCTTCATGTTTACGCCTTTTTTGCGCTGATTCTGAAGCTGCAGGTTTTATTTCTCTTGAAACAATATTGACCGAACCAGCAGCAAAAGGAGATCCATACGCTTCACATAAACATCGTCATGAATTCCCTCTGACTTTTGCTGTTTTGCTTTCACCAGGAAAAACGCACACTTCATGCACAGCTTTCTCTCTCTCACTCTCTCTCTCTCACACACTCTCTCTCTCTCTCTCTCTCTCTCTCTCTCTCACACACACACACACACACACACACACACACACACAGTATACTTCAAGAACAGTTTCCCGTCTAAAAATCGGTTTTCTGCATTATTCGCTTGTCTGTTACGCATAAGACCTCCGTTGTTTACAGCGCTGTCAGCCGCTGTTTTTTCCCTTTTAAATACTTCCGAAAAGAAAACCTAATTTCTGCCGTTCAATAGGCTACTAAAATAATGTAAACTTTTTAACATTATGCAAAATTGCAAAACGCTAAGGTGTGTCTCTAATAAAACCTCTGTAATTTGCTCTGCTTGAATTCAGCAGCATCAGGTAATGTTCATTTGTTGATTAATGGTTTTCTTTCGGTTTTGATCTACTGCTGAATATTTTTATAAAATCGTTTTTCTGTTTTAGCCTCAGCTATGTTGACACAAAGGCATCTGCTGTGATGCTTACACCTTAGATAAAGTCTCGAAAGTGTCAGCTTTCTTTTTATAGTTATACAAATATGCAAATGTACTGATCTATGATCTGAATTATACTATTGACTGACTGTCTGAGGCTAACAGTTACACAATCATACCAAAACTCTGTCCTGATAGTTTCCACTTTCTCTTTTGTATCACATACTGAGACAATATTCGGGATAAACAACCATGAAAACAATTTATTTATTCAGTTTAGAGGTTTACAGATCATTATAATCACAGAGCCCGCTTCACTTGTATTGTCCACTTGATGGCGCAGTAGAGCAAATGAATCATCACAATGCTTCGAACCATGAGTCGACCAATTGGGTGGAAAGCTTCAGTTCATCATGAGGCTTCATCTCACCATCACTAGTGGAAAGCTTCAGTTCATCATGAGGCTTCATCTCACCATCACTAATCGAAGAGCTAATCCAGCACCTAATCCAGCACCTAAGCCCGGAGCGAACAGGAAAGGGAAATGGATTTTAAAATGCAGTTTATTAAAGTGCAAGTGGAAAAAGGATTTTGAAATGCAGTTTATTAAAGTGCAAGTGGAAAAAGGATTTTGAAATGCAGTTTATTAAATTGGAATTCAAAAATGTTTTTTGAAATACAATTGGAAAAAGGATTTTGAAAATCAGTTTATTAAATTGGAATTCAAAAATGAATTTACAAATGCAGAATTTATTCTACAATTTATTATTTAAGCACAGAATTCTTTATTTCGATGCATGTGGCTCTTGTGGTCCTCCATACCACTTGTCGCGTATATCTAAAACATTTTGTCCTGATTCCTGCAGTTTGAGATTATGCTCGTTGAGATGTCCAGTTCTATCAGCAAGATACTTTCTACAGATAAGCCATCTAACAGCACAGTGGAGCAGGATGTCTTTGTATGAGCTATCCATCTCCTCGAGCAGAGACTGGAATTGGCAGTAAGTTAACGTTCCTGGGCCTGAAGCTGATTTTCACATACCAACCTCCCCAGTGTGTGCAGCTTTGCTCTCAGGTCCAAGACATATTAAATCTGGCTTTTAGCTGGACTTGGACCTTCCTTCCAGCTTCCCTTAACCAGGTCCAACACCCCCGTGACCTGGAGTACCTCAGCAAACAACTGAGGCTCTAATCAGCGATCCAATTGCGTAAATCCTCGTGAATGAACTTTCAAATCATGGACTTTAAAGTCTTTTTCAGCCTCTCCACCAGCCTGTCAGTCTGAGGGTGGTAGACACTAGTCCAAACAGATTGAATGCCAAATAATTCATACAGCTCTTTAAGTGTAGCTCAGAAGGGGTGTGGCCTCAGGAGGTAGAGCAGGTCATCTACTGACCGGAAGGTTGGTGGTTTGAACTCTGGCTCCCCCAGACTGCATGCCAAATATCTTTGATATTAAGATATAAATATCAAGATTTTAACCCCAAGTTGCTCTCTCATGCATCCACCTTTTAATGTTAGAATCTTAAAAGCACAGAAGAAGTGCTTGTGTGAATGTGGCATGTTGTATAAAGCCCTGAGTCCTGAGTGCGGTAGAGTAGAAAAGCGCTACATAAGAATCATAAGAGTTCAGTTACCATTTACCATTTAAGTGTGCAGTCAAATGAGACCTGATAATGGGTGCAAAGAGGCTTTTGGAATGGTCGGCTGGTTAACCATCTGACACTTCAGGCAGGATGCACACCATCAGCGCACATTCTTTTGGATGCCCGGCCAATAAAATATACCTTTTTCCATATCATCATGTAGTTTAGATGTTTGTTAGTGGCCCTGAACCTACACAGTAGAAAAAAGGTTGTCAATTTCCCCTTGTGGGACTAATAAAGGTATATCAATAATCAAAGGTGTCAGTGAAAGAGACATGCAGATTGTGGTCTGTAATGACATCTTATATAAGGGATTGTCGTTAAACCTTTCAAAAAAACTCATGCTTTAACTTTTCTTTGTCATTGTTTGTTGTAGGAACTCCATCGGCACATAGAGGAGGGCCTGGGCAAGAACATGTCGGAGAGGTGCTCCACCTCCATCAGCAGTGCACTGCAGACCACACAGAATGACATGATTGGTAACATGTCCACCTTTCTACTTCAACAGGCTCCGGTTTACGTTAAGCCACTATGAGGTTTTCAGCTATGATTGCCAAACACATGTGTATTTGTGGCATGCAACTAGTTACACTATATGGCAGGGGTGGGCAATTCCAGGCCTCGAGGGCCGGTGTCCTGCAGGTTTTAAATCTCACCTTGGGTCAACACACCTGAATCAAATGATTTGTTCGTTACCAGGCCTCTGGAGAACTTCAGGACTTCATGTTGAGGAGCTAATTTAGCCATTTAAATCAGCTGTGTTGGATCAAGGACACATCTAAAACCTGCAGGGCCTCGAGGCCTGGAGTTGCCCACCCTTGCTATATGGAATAGTTATTGTTTGAAAATTGTGTTGTAATTCATAGCCAAGCAGAAAATAGTTATTTATTTTCACAATGACGCTGCTGTTTTCTGTTCATGTGTGCAGAGGGTCTGAAGCCTTTGCTGCCCAGTGCCGTGAGAGAGCAGGTTGACAAGCTGGTGCCTCGAAGTCAGTGCTTCAGCCTCAGTTATGACCTTGCCTGTGACAAGCTTTGCAGTGACTTTCAGGAAGATATCAGCTTCCACTTCTCTCTGGGCTGGACCATGCTGGTCAACCGCTTCCTCGGACCCAAGAATACCCGACGCGTTCTCATGGGCTACAATGACCAGGTAACATTGCCAGAAGTATAAACTTCCTCAAAGTGTCTACATAAGCAACATTGTATACAATTAAAAAGCATATTTGATGCATAGAATCCGGAAACAAAAAGCATAATCACATACCTAAATTGATATAGAAAGCTTCTTTTTCACCTTCAGCCGTGTCCTACTGGATGTGTCCTACATGACCAGAATAAAACCAGGACAAAAAGACCAGAGCTGGATTGATCTGTACAGGGCCGTGTGCTTTGTGAGGTTATTCGCTGTGTTGTCCATACAGGTTCCTCGCCCAATGGCCTTGACACCGGTCAGCACCAGCATGCCTCCATTTCCACAAAGCGCCATGACCCAGGAGGAGCTGATGGTCTCTATGGTGACCGGTCTTGCTTCCCTCACCTCCCGTACTTCCATGGGTGTTCTTGTCGTTGGTGGAGTGGTGAGGATCTACAAACACACCGCACACAATTAGAATTGAATGAAATATTAAGGAAACAGATCTGTTTTGGTATTCCAGAATCAAAGAGGTAGTGATGGGCAACAAATGTATTATAATGCTCTACAGAGTGAATTGCAAAGCTCTGAAAATGGGACAGTACTTGCTTTTCCTGTTGTGGGATGGGAGTTGAAATGATCTGAACTGTGATGTTTTTGATTACATGCTGGCAAAAAGCACAATAAAACCACAGCAACAGTGTTTACTCACCACCTGTAACACTTGCCAGAAAGGCTTTCTCATTAAGTTCATCATTTTATCATAGTTTTTATTAAAGAGTTATTCAAATTTTTGCACTATGAAGATTCCAAACTAACTTTTTGAATGCTAATTTTATTTCCTCATGCCTTTTGTTATTTCATAATAGCCAACCATTAAACGTAGACTTAGTGCTCAGCCTATGTTTCAGCCTGACCTTGGTCTTTCATTCTGTGTAGATCTGGAAAGCAGTGGGCTGGCGTCTCATCGCTTTGTCACTGGGCCTTTATGGGCTCCTCTACATCTATGAGCGGCTCACCTGGACCACCAAGGCCAAAGAAAGAGCCTTTAAGAGGCAGTTTGTGGATTACGCCAGTGAGAAGCTACAGCTCATTGTCAGTTACACTGGATCCAACTGCAGCCACCAAGTCCAGCAGTGAGCACACATAATTAGGCTAATGTTACAGGAGAGAATGCCAAGTATATTTGTGATCCAGCACTGAATATTGTCGAGCCTTTCTAACGCTGTGTGTGGTTGACAGGGAATTGGCTGGGGTGTTTGCTCAGCTCTGCCAGCAGGTTGACATCACCCGTCAAAATCTTGAAGATGACATCACTGACATGAACAGCAAGATTGAGCTGCTGGACAGCCTCCAGAGCAAGGCTAAGCTGCTACGGTAAAAAATGATAACCTCAACTGTGGCTCTTTGCTCATGCATGTTGTGTGTCTCTCTTTACAATGTAGAGCCTTGGGCGGAGTGATGAGGAGCAAAGTCCTGACTATAAACATATTTCCAGTTAAAATGAAATTGCAGTGGTGGAAAGAGCGAGTTAACTGTCAAACTTGTAAAACACTAGGCATTATTAAACATTTTGTTCACAGGTTACAGGTGACAAGCTATTTCAAAGAGTTCTTGGTTCCAACCTGCTGACAAGCTGGGGTCTTTCTATGTGGTGTTTGCATGTCCTCCCTGTGCCTAAATGGGTTCTCTTCCGTATCTGGGCTTGCTACCACAGTTCAAAGACAGGCACATTAGACTAATTTATGATTTGGAATTGGCAATAGGTGTGAATGTGAACAGTTGTTTGCATTAGCCCCGTGAAACTGGTGATGTATGCTTCAACATTTCCTGGGTCCACTCCACAGTCTCCTTCCGGTAGGAAGTGCCCGGAACCACTTTTCCTAGGATCCATCATAATCTGATTCCTGAACCATCTCCACTGGCTCCATTTGATGTGGAGGAATAGCGACTGTATTCCTGTATTTCTGTATGTAGTCTGTGTTTTTATACTTTGGTCACTGCTCACCCCAAGTGGTGAGCAGTGACCAAAGTATAGGCTCCAATGGGGTGGGGGTTGGGGATGAAATGATCGAGTGTCTCTGCAAACAAACAAAAGTCTGGGCCTGAACCTGTGTGCATGCAGCAACACATGTTCTTATATGTGGAGGTGCAACATGAACTTATAGTAAGGCAAATCCAATTTATCATGAACAACATTGTGCTGTCTCTTACTTGTCCATGTGTTCTGTTCAAGCGTGGATGCAAAGAGTTCCCTTGAAGCTGTATCAACCAGCTGTACTTGAAGAAGAGTGACTTCACACTAAATAAATTTGTAGGGCTGGTGTGATTCATCAAGTAATTCATTTACAAATGGACACATTCTATGCTTTTATATGATGATGTAAACATGAGAGTTTTGCCCACATTTGTGACAAAAAGAGACCTGCAACAGAAACGTAATTAACAGCAGCATGTAAATAAAACACCTGACAACATTAAACCCAGACAGCCCCCAGTTTTTAGCAAAAACATTGATAACACAACTGCAGAGAGTGAAAGAAAACATGTTTCTGGTCCAAAAAGAAAAAGCAGCACATAAACTGGAACCTCGAAGTCCACCAACTACACCAGACTGTGCCAGGTTCCAAACTGAGTTGTGCAGCCATTCACAGCAGGGCCAGAGTGTTTTTTGCACTGTGCCATGTTCAAGCATGATCTCAGGGTGACTATATTTCTGATCAACACATGCTGTTTGCAGGTGTCTCTTTTAAACATGCAACTTGTTGCATAATTGTCTATTTTTTATTTTTATTTTTTTAAACGTGTGTTTGCGTTTGTGTGCTTTTTCAGGAATAAAGCGGGCTGGCTGGACAGTGAGCTCAACATGTTCACCCAGCAGTATCTTCATCACAGCAAGTAAAACCAGGTGGAACATCCTCAAAGGGAAAGAGTGGCACCGGAGCAACGTTTTGTACATCTGTTAATGGTTCCTCACAGGTGTATTTGAAGTCACTGAGAGAAATACTAACATTACTTTTAACAGAAGGCGTGGTTTGGATATCTGACATAAGTTGAAGGAGCTGCTAATTAGTTGTCATGTAGTTGTGTAGACGTGATGTCAGGATCAGTCTGTTGAGCTTGTCCGTGTTCAGTTGTGGTAATGTGCAAATGAACATGAACTGGCCATCTGTTGATGGCTCATCAGCACTGATCAGTCACACCCACCACCTTCTGTCAAAAACTCTGTCACGCTGTCCTTTAATGGAATTCTGCTTAACCTGGCACTTTTTGCCTGTATAGATGTGATTTTGTGTATACATGTGAACACTGGACAAATACAGAAGTAAGACACTCCACCAGTGAATGGGAAAATGTGTGTGTTGTCATGGTAGTCCGTGATATTCCATTGCGCCATGATGACACACACACACACAGACATTTGATGTGCATTTCCTTTATTATTGCTACTGATAAGACACCACACATCCGAATGACTAAAAACATCAGAAATTGCTTTGCAGTTAAATAATAGGAGATTTTATATAACCTTTTATTCTTTTTCTTGTGACGTTGTCAGATTAAGCCACTCTTGCTGTTGCAGATGTAAGGCTTTACTTTGATATGTCCCACCTGCTTACACATTGTTACAGATAAACCACACACACACTCGAGTGAGACAACATTTCCACCATAACAACGAACGTCTGAGGAAAGACAAAAGGATGTTGACCCAGCCTCCAGAGTCAAATCGGAGCTGAACCGACTTGTAAAGTGACAGAGGACAGCTGCACAGTTGGGCCTTTGTTAAGCTGTAGCAGTGAATAATAAGATACAGCAGGTTTTGGATACTCACAGAGTACTTGTTAAGAGCAAACATTCACTGTTTGTTTGCTTTCTGGTGCTCTCTGATTAGAAGAACATTTAGAAACTTTTAGAAATGGTTTGCTTCACCTGCACCATTTAGCAGAATTGCAGAAAAAAAAGACTAGAGCCACACAGTTGAGCTTAGACTAGCTAAAGTAAAGAACATGCAACTTTATTGTATTTTTATTTATTAGATTTTCTTGAGCTGATTTCTAGTCCCAGCTTCTCACAGACATCACAACATCTTTGTGTTTGGTGTTTGGCTCTTCCTTTAACAAAGCCAATTTGAAAGTTTAGCACTGTGCAGTATGTGTGGAGTAACATTTTTCACTCCCACTAAATGTTGTGCTTTCAGAAGTGTGAGCAGAATGAAATTATTATTTTGAACTAGAAGCAGTGACAAAGAAGAAACATCACAGTAGATGTGACTTAATTGTCCACGGTTGTATACTGTTTGTGTTGCCAAATGATGCTGCTGTAATAACCCTGTTTTGTTTGGTTTTTTTTTGTTGTTTTTTTGTTTTGGGGTTTGTTTGTTTTTTAGGGCAAATATATGCTTTTCATCCATTTGCTCTGTTTCTTTTGTTTTGCCCTAAAGCAAGTGTACACCAACAGAACAGTTTTCTGCTTTTGGGACATTGACAGTACCTGCATGCAGCCTTTACATGCAACTAGTGTAATTTCTTGCCCTATTAAAATGTGTATGTATGTGTAAAAGTAAATAAAGAGAAATTATCAACTATAAAGTTAATACCAAATTTTATTTATGTATATGTGTGTGTGTGTGTGTGTGTGTGTGCGTGCGTGCGTGTATGCGTGTGTGTACGTGTACGTAGGCACGCACGTTATGCAAAAAATAACTAGTGAGTTTCTGAATGTTATACAGTTGAATTTTACAATAATGCTTTTGACCATCAAATTTTTAGTGACCAAAATTAAGAATTATTTTTTCTGGGGGTTTTGTACGTACGTGCGTGCGTGCATGTACACACACGCGTACGTACACGTACACACGCATGCGTGCGTAAGTGTACGTACGTACAAAACCCCCACAAAAAATTATTCTTAATTTTGGTCACTAAGAATTTGATGGTCAAAAGCATTATTGTAAAATTCAACTGTATAACATTCAGAAACTCACTAGTTATTTTTTGCAATATGGTATTGACAGTCTGACTGTAGTCTTCTCGGTGTATCCTTAGGTGTGAAATGAGTGCAGTGAAAGCTGTTTCGCAAGTTTCTGCTCTGCATCAAACTAGACCAGAGTCCACGGAAGTCTGTATTGCAGTAGTGTCACATCCACAGGACTCCATTCTCTTGAGAAAAGATTCCAAAAAGCATATCCATAAACCAAAACTTGACGTTAGTGTTAAGGCCGCACTGTCTTTTAAGTGCTGTAACAGATCCAGGATCTCAGTCTAGAGTCCATCTTTGACCAATTACGTCTTCAAGGACCGGACATCAGGCATCACTGCATGTCTCGATCTATTTAAGAGATTACAAAAAACCTTTGTTGTTATACTTCATATTATTAACAGGAACATATTACTGTATTTTCATCCACACACTAATGAGGGGAGAGAAAAATAAATACATTTGTCATCATCATACAGAGCTTTCCTTTTCAACTTTTGTCAATCAATCAATCAATCAAAGCTTTATTCACCACATGCAGGTTGCCCTGCAGTGAAATGGGACACCCCCCC